AGAGAAAAGGGGAATTTAGGTAAATCTACTAAAACGAACTGTTATAATAAACGTTCTCTTCTGAGAACTTCTTCCATCCAGCGTACCAACGAGATTCTTTGTGCAACGTGATCCCTGTAGCATCCCTGCAACATTGTTTGGTAAGCTTACCGGTATTACTCGATATCGAGAAAGATAGAGCTTCAATAAAGGTCACCATCTGCAGCGGTAAATGCCGCCAGAGGTTTCCACGAGCAGAAAATGCGACTTACTCATTCGCCTCTACAGTCCGGTTTGCGAACGCGTCAGCAAATCCTTCTGTTCGTTTCTTCAGCACCTCTGAAGAATTGTGAGATATATAATTTACGTAGGGCGGATGGCGAGATCGAATCCTCGACCGTACGCCGCCTAGGTCAACCAAACTTCCCATCCCTCCAACTCCAATATCAGTACCAGAATTTTTCCTACGGTGGTAAAAACACAGACTTGTACATAGAGTAGCCTACAACTCTTTGGTAAGCCGTATCGCATTAAAATGCCACCTCCAATGTTAATGCAATGATTCTGAATGGAATGAATGTGAACGAATGGCGAATGAGAATGTGTGGCATATTCCAAAAAGGGGGTAGCTCAACACCGAATACTCTATTCTTTGTAAAACTGAGTAGCAAACTTACAGATTCTTCGTAAGGAAAATCTAGACATGTAAAACACGGATAGTGAGTTATCGACAACGGTGAAGAGGGCAAAACTACTCAGTAAGCGCTGACTTTAAACACAGAATTTCTCTAGCAGATGAAACACTAAATTTTAGTAGCGCTAAACTTTTGCTAAATGGTTCTTTTCTTATTCATACGTTCTTGCGTTAAGCAACTCCACTCGTAACGAAGAAAGAAGTCGAAGAAAAGCAAATGAAACATTGGATTTCCATGTTCTCACCTGGTCGGCTGTACATTCGAACATCGGTGATGTTATCAATCTCGTCCTTCACGACTTTCATCGACTAAAGTAAAGGAATGCGACACCATTCAGATGGAACTCTAAGAAAAATACTAATATCATACCGAGGAGACTTGCTTATAAACTTCTGTATCGCCCACTTTCTCTGCAATTTTCTCCACATGTTCTGCAGCAATGCGTGCCTATAAATGCAAATTGTCCATATAA